TTTCTCAGATTTGTTCATTTCGTGATGATATCTTCAATTCTCTAATTTTGGTGAATATTTTAGTCATTTTTGGTAGAAAGTGATATTTTCGACTTCTTGTTAAAAACTGTAAGTCCGATTGCTTTGATACTATACATATTGTTCATTTTCTGATGATGTCTTCAGTTCTTTAATTGAAATGTGCATTTCTAACAGCGGAGCTATCTCAGCCGATAGGCTGCTTGTTTATGTGAAGCTGTAGTATTGTCGCTTGATTGAGAAAAGTGATTAATAATAATATGGAACACTAATAGTTACAATTGCCTTGTGTTAGATACTAGTAGTAGTTTTAAAATTATCTTTAAAAAAATTTGGTCCTGCTTCGAAATGGTTTGAATACAGGTTCATAAATTATACTGCTAAATTATGTTTTTAATGTTTTTTAATTTCGCAATTTTTGTTGAAAACAATGAATAAAATCCACTGAATTAAATCTATGTGAATAACAAATCACTGGTTTTACTGGCAGATTTTTAAAATTAAAATCCAGTGAATATGCTTAGAATATTACTAAACATTGAAATCAAATGTCAGTATAAATAATTGGTTTAACAGTATTACCCTGCAGCTTTGACATTCATGGTTTTATGTTATTGTCAGCATCTCTTTCTGTGGGGACACTCTGACCTTAAATGTATTTGCCAGTAGCAATCATTGCCCAGTGTCTGTTTATTGATGTAGAACTAGTTGCCATTGGAAACCTGCTGTGCAAATATGTTGTGTAAATGGTATGATATGACTTATTGAGGAGACTTACATTATTGCTCAGACAACTACTATAAACTGCTTTAATTTTGCACAAATGACTCGGTGAACATTGCAAAATTTGTAGCAGTGGACATTTATCTGGGTTCCTATAGCGTGTTAGTGACTTTCTTGAAATTTTGTCTTAACGAATGTCATAAAATCTCAAAAATTTCTAGAAGTTAAAATTAATTGTAATTTTTATATATGGCACACATGCAGCATCTCTAATACCGTGTCTGTCTTTATTGCTATAAGGAAAGAATAGAAGAGAAAATTTAATAGACTTTAAATTAATTGTTAATTCAAAAATAAATTGAATTTCACTGTAGTAAATCAAGCTGAATGTCTGTTTCGCTGGACTTTGTTTTATTGTGCCAGTGATAGACTAGAATAAAGTTCATATGCAAATTACATTATATTTATGCTGGTGGAATGACTAGATAATTTATTGCCTCATCGTGATATACTGTCTACATGTCTACATGAAAGGTTGTGACTGACCTCAAGCGTCCAATATATGGTTTATAGCAACTATCCATGCAACTTCATTAAAATAATCTATAGACAGGTTGAATTGTTTTTTATGTATCACCAACTTGTACATTTGACGTAACACATGTTGCAACAGTTGTACAGACAGGTTGCTCATATGTTATGCTTTGGGACTGCCTAAGGGACGACGTCAAAAGATCGAGTCGGATAAAAAACTTATTTCCTTTAGTTTGGGGATGCGGGGGTTTTGACCTCAAAAAGTTTCCATCCTACAAAAACGATTTTATTTTTTAATGAAGTCAAAAAACTCATGGAGTATTTGTAGTTCGTTTTTTTTCTATCCAATCATGGACAGAAATAACCGAAAAGGGAAAAAAAACATAAAAATGGTTTGGTTCGAGTGTAAATCTG